TCTTATATATAAGGTTTTATTACAACAATATAAATTTTTTCAGAATGTACGTGTAAGGTAAACATCAATTATTAGTTTAAAATATGTGGCGATGGGTACTCCTTCATGCTCACCTATAAATGTCTTATAAAGTTATCTATTTGTAGATAAAATATTTGTTTTGAAAACTTCAATTTTGTCTTAAACAAAAATTATGATATGTTATATTTTTTTAATCAAAAGTTAAAATTCTTGTGTTTTTTTTTTTTATTTTATTACGTTTTGCATTTAAAGGAAACTTATTTACTATAAATTTTTTATGTCACAGCTCACATATCATAAAGCTAAAATTTTGGATAATATAATTAAAACTAAAAGATAAAAAAACTTTAATAATTTAACAAATATTTATAAGACTATTATAGTTAAAAAAATATTAGATGTAATCTGTTGAGAAAAACTCAATGTTATCAATAGTCAGGGAGTAGAAAATAAATATAACTAATTAATGATTTAGCTGAAGTATTAGACATGCACATACATAATTATGGTGAAACATATATGAAAATGAAAGAAATTATGCGGTATTGCATTATTGTAGAATATCTGTCAACACAAAAAAAAAAAAAAAAAAAAAAAAAAAATTTAACTGGCGTTTTTATTTCGAATTTACAAATATTTTTTATTCATAATAAATTAGTTCATTCATCAATCATATAAACAATAGTAATGTATATGCTCTGTCAATGGAGAAAATTGTGTCCGAGTCCACAGCTGGGTGACGGCTCGCATTATTTATAAATGACCGAGTTGTCGCCCTACCGTTTATGTGGGAGACTGCATGTAATATATTTCTTCATAAATAATGACTAACTGACTCATCAACCCATATATCCATCACATGTAATATTTTTGCAGGCGACCGCACGTAATATTTTTCTTCGTACATAAAGACTAACTAACTCATCAATCCGTATATTCATGCACAGCAAGATCATCGGAGCCAAATACTACCACCATGAGGGCGATATAATCGACGGTAACGGGAACACCCCCTCTCCCCGCGACACCGACGGCCACGGCACCTCAACCGCATCCATCGCTGCCGGCCGCTTGCTTCCCGGCACCAGTTTCGGCGGCCTTGCATCGGGCACAGCCCGAGGTGGTGTTCCGTCAGCCAGGCTAGCTATTTACAAGGTCTGCTGGAAAGGCAACAAGTGCTCCGACTTCAACATCCTAGCAGCTTTCGACGACGCCATAGCAGATGGGGTCGATATCATCTCCATCTCCATTGGCGAGTCGATATCGAAGCAATACTTTGAGGACGCCATCGCAATTGGATCGTTCCATGCAATGAAGAAGGATATACTAACGAGTTGTTCGGCGGGGAACTCAGGGCCATCGAGAAGTACATTGAGTAATTATGCACCGTGGATGCTGACGGTGGCGGCCGGGACTATAGATAGGAAGTTTGTGGCTAATGTGAAGCTTGGAGATGGCCAGGTCCATGAGGTAATTAATGATGGTGCAAATAATATTTATTATAATTATGCAATTGAGAAAAAAGGAAACTAATTAATTTGGTGGTGATGGATGATAGGGAATGGCAGTGAATATGGTGGGATTAGATGATGTAATGTATCCTTTGGTAGAAGGAAGAAATGCGCCCAATTTGACGGCAGGCATCAGCGGGGCGCGTTCTGCGTAAATACTGTTCTATGTCACCATTAACATTTATCGAAAAGACATTTTCAGTACTTGTGTTTTAAATTCTATTGCATGCACATGCAGATACTGCAATAATGGGGCATTAAACGCGGATGTGGTGCGAGGAAAAATTGTTATTTGCTCTGGCGTGACCAGTGATGGCTCTGAATTAACACGGGTGCAGGCCGCTGGGGCAATAATGAACTCATATTATCCAGTCAACTCGGCCTATCAATTCAGCGTCCCATCATCAGTACTTGGAGCTCACCCAATGTTTGCAATCCATAAGTATCTAAAGAGCACTAGGTGCGCATCTTCCGCCCGTCAACAACAATTATCATTTTAATTTGTTTAAAAATAAAATAAATATTTTTTGTTCAAAATTAATTTTAAGACTATGAATATTTTTATTTATTTTCTACCGTGCCTTGTAATTATAGCCAACCTACGGCAAGTATTTCGAAGACACAGGCAATATTTGATGGAGCGCCACCTATCGCGGCTTCGTTTTCTTCTCGTGGGCCAAATCGTATCACTCCAAACATTCTCAAGGTAAAAATTAATTTCTGTGATTTAATAGTATTGTTTTTTTTTTTCACACAACAGCTTAATTGTTGTCATGCGGCATATGTGAAATATTTATAATGTTTTGATACATCAAATTAATTCTATTTTTTTTTGTGCTTGGAAAATTTTTTAGCCGGATATAACAGCACCAGGGATTAATATTTTATCAGCGACATCGGGAAAATCTACAAGTCTGGCTGTGGGAACATCCGCTGCTTGCCCGCATGTTAGCGCGGCTGCTGCTTATGTCAAGTCATTCAAGCCAAACTGGTCTCCAGCTGCAATTAAGTCTGCTCTTATGACTACGGGTAAGCACTTTATAAAAAGATTAATGTTAGATTAAATTCATTCAATACTTCTTGACATATATGCAATAATAAATAAATAATAAAAATTACTACCTTTTTCCTACCTAATTTCATATTAATGAAATTCAAAGTAATTAAAAAATAATGAAGTCCCATTAACTCAAATCTCAAATTCAGAATACCCACCCACTCGATTATAGTTAATGCATGATTAGCTACATCATCTCATTAATTCTAATTAAGTAATTAACTTTCCATGCACGATTGTTTCTCGCAGCCAAGACGATGAGTTCAGATAAAACCCCAGAAGCGGAATTCGCTTACGGGGCAGGCTACTTAAACCCACTTGCAGCTCTGAATCCCGGTTTGGTCTACGATGCTGAAGAAAAGGACTACGTAAATATGTTATGCAGCCAAGGTTACAACACTGAAAGACTTAAACTCGTAACTGGAGATGATAGCAGCTGTACTTCGGCCAACAACTCGACGGAGCTCAACCTCAATTATCCCTCCTTCGCTTTATCTGTTTCCTCTAATGAGAAACCCTTTTCAGCTTCATTTTTAAGAACGCTGACAAATGTTGAAGACGATGGTTCCACTTACAAGGCATCAGTGATCGAACCTTCTGGCCAGATAAACGTAAGTGTGGAACCGAATGTATTGACGTTCGAAAAGATGATGGAGAAGAAATCGTTCGTGTTAAAGGTTGAAGGAGCGGCTGTGAGAAGTGTGATCTCGGCTGCTTTGGTGTGGAGTAATGGCGTGCGAAACGTGCGTAGCCCGATTGTAGTGTTTTTATATTAAGAAATTGTTCAGTGACATGTGTTGTGTGTATGTAAGAAAGAATAATTATATGAATACATTATACATTTATTTCTCTACATCTGTTCGATCAAATTAATTGATTAGGTTCTGACATTTTGATTGAAAATGAATCAGCTTAATTTACATAAAACTTGTTAGTGTACAATTCATTCACAACAAGAAAAAAATAGGCTTAATTTCCTCTTTAAAAATCTCCTGCAACCTTTTAGTGTGGGATATTAGTAGTGATTGGTATAAGATCATGAGTACTAGTGTCAATTGAATTAGACTTCACTCAGCTGTTTTAACTGCTACAAAATTTTGTGCTGAATCATAGTGCTTTCCTCTGGAACAATATTTAGCTGTTGTTCTCTAACTGTGGGCAAAATACACTATATTTAATTGCTGTTTTTCAATTAGGGAAAATATATTCGTAGTGATTTTGAAGTCTATAACATTTTAAAAAGCTAAAAGTGCTGCCAATATTGCAAAAATTGGCAGTGAACACCATTATATTTCTGTAACTTTTGTAGTGGTTAAAACCATGAGATGTATTTTTTCTCAAGGAATTGCGATTGTTAAAAAAAATGCAATTGTTGCATATTTTCATACTTAATTCTATTGTGAAAATTAAAGTTATTTTTATTGACATTCGAAGCATCAGTTGCATATTTAAAAAGATTGATCATATGATAACATTCAATCAAAATTTTGTATGCAATAAAAATTTAATTTAATATTAGCCGATTTTAAAGACAAATGCTGTGGATTATAAAAATTCAAGCTTAGAATTGCCCTGCTTAATGGAGTCATCTGATGAAAAAAAATCAAAATTAGTAGAATAATAATTAAACAGAGACATAGTTGTTACATTTTATAAGCGGTCATATATTGTCTATCAAGAAACTGTGCCAGATGGCAATGATTATTGGAGTAAATTTGACTAGTTTAGCTGGCTATAATCTGAAATAATGACTTAATTATATAATTTTTCTCAGTCGTTCAGATGTTAAATCTTGTTGGCTCAACCTTAGATAAGCTAGGTGGTCATATTTAATCCAATTAGCAAAGAGTAAATCAAGTTGGAAATTCCATAATGTAGCAGCAATCTATAAGTTGGCATTAGGTCAACACTTGGAGATCTCATTAAAAATGTGATTTAACTTTGATGAACAAATCAATCAAATTTAATTTAAGTTATTTGTCACGTATATACCACTAATAATAGTAACGTCCTAAAAATTCGTAGATTTTTCTTATATTTAATGTGATATATTATTGTCCAAATTATAAATAATACTAAAAAACAGGTTAATATTCATTTCCAATCTTGACTATGGCATCACAGCCATGTAAAATTTTTAGATGACTAGATCATCATGACATGAAATAGAGGCATTTGGAGATTCTCAGTTCATTTGTGAGTCATTTCTCTCATAAAGGAATCATGATTCTTTAGATTGGTGGCTTTTATTGAGCTTTTAACTATTATGAGAGTTCATTAATCTATATTATGTGGAGGAAAGGCCTTGAAAGTGTCGAGTATTATGGAGCCCGATCCACTTCTTAATTGGGCAGTCTTACACCATTGGAAACTAATTAAATCTTGCCTCTTTTAATTAATTTTATTTTCTTCGATTAGTTCTCCCGCAATTACGCAGTTATTTAGGCTCTGTTTGGCGCAGCTGCAGCTTCTCAGCTTTTCAGCTGCAGCTGCGTTGCCCCAGGAAGCTGCTGCGGGAAAACAACTGCGAGGAAGTTGGCCGTCTGTTTGGTGCAGATGTGTAAAACAAGTTGTTGGGCAGCTATTTATGAAAAAAAGACCATACTGCCCCTGTTTGGTAAAACTATTTGAAAGAAGAGTATAACAATCATATTTTTAAATTTCAATAAGCTCTCAAGGTGCTAACAACTTTTGTATAAGAATAAAAACACATATGGAACACAATTTTATGTATTTACATATCTAGCACATAAATGTTGAAGTTTTATGAATATTTTCATATTATTTTGAATGTCTTACGAAAGAATTGGGTCGCCGAAATGTAATGAAGTTAATTTAAGGGTTAGATATGTAAATAGGTGAAATTAATTATGGTTAAGGAAACAAATTGAAGTGTTAGATATTTATATATATAATAGTTATCAATTATTATATAGAATAATTTTATGTACTAAATAGTGTTGTAATAAATACAAATTGAAGAAATATTCTAAAATTATATTTTAGTCTACAAAATGGATATCTTAAAAGCACCGAACCGTACATAAATACAAATTTGAACCCTGAAAAAAAAGGCTCGGTTCTTCGGCAGCATTAAACTGAACAAATATCTTCTGGAAGGATTTCATCAGCATTGCATAAATCCAAAGAGAAATTCTTGAAAATCATCAA